ATTGTAAAGGTGCAATGTACAACGTATAAAGCGCCTTATAAGGCTTTAGCAACATTTGGAGTTGGCGATATTTTGTATCTATCGAGTCGAGGTCACGCGCTTGGACCGTTCATAATGTTCGCAGGAGAGAGCGATTCGGTGTGGTTACGTCAAAGACGTTGTTTCATCAGTAGCCTCGTGTTGTCCTTCGTGCGAGCGTCCTGCAAAGAGATTGAACGAGTCATCGATGATTATTAATCGGTTGGGTGACTCAGTTGGGGTTTGACATCGAAGCAACGAGTGAAATGCAGGTATTCTGGGTGACTGTATTGCTATGTACCCTGTACTACTTGGAGGTAGTAGCCATAACAAACACCTTCAAGATTATCGCTGTGTTTCATATTTCTGTCTCGAAGGTTTTTTAGATGGAAATATTATTGTGGCCAACGTTTCGTCGGAGGCGGAAGTGGTGTAGTGGCACGCTTACCACGCGAGCGGTCCGGGGATCAAATCCTGGGTCGTGAGTCGCCCGGGCCAACCAAGCCTTCCATCCCTCCGGGGTCGGTTAATTGGTACCAGACTTGTCTGGGAGGATAAAAACACTGACTTGTACATCGGCTGGCCCCCGCAAGTCATTGTATAGGCCACATCGCATTCAAACGCCACTACGAATGTACAAATGGAAGTAGAATGCGTGCCGCATCCCAAAAAGGGATTGATCAACGGCAAATGCTTTATCCTTTATCCTAACGTTTTGTCCGTATCTTCGTTTCCAACGCGGCTAAAAGGCTAAAAAGGCTGGGTAATGGCTTGAGGGTTGCACATCACCCCAGCAAGCGTCTTCGCCGCTCTAGCGTTTCTGGCGGAAAACACCCAAAATTTCAAAGATAAACTCAGGCGGTATTGCAAGGTAAAGGGGTATTATGGTTGCAGTGCATTAAAAAGGAAGCGATTACGATAAAGAGGGAGCGCATCGGGGAAGCATATGCACCACACGAAGCAGTTACTTGGCTGCCAAGGAAGCGAGGTGTGGCGCTTTCACGACGAAAGGTGCGCTGGTTGCTGAGCAGGATCCGCCCCCAAAAGCGATCCGCCCACTAGTTTAGTTGGTGATTTGGACGAGCTGCAGCAGCGGCACAACTGGAGCATCTCGATTAAAGCGTGGTTTGGCATGGTGCCACCAAACGCGTTGCGGTGAACTCGTTCATACGTCCGCTTTCTGAGCTGTTACCTGTTCATGAGTGAAAACCGGCCAAAAAAGGGGTCCCGTTTTGCGTTTTCTGACGGATTTCTCTGCTTTTTTCGCCACTGGCGTACCATTGAGCACCACCACGTCTTTTCCAAACCCTTCTTGAACCTATCGTAATGGCTGCCTCTAAGAACGCGTGAACATCTCCTTTTTTTAAACCTGGACTGAGCCTCAGGAGAAAGGTCACCTCACGCTGTAACGCTTTTTCAAAATGGTTTTCTGCATGTTATGGGAGCTCATGCGTGGACTACGAAACCGAGGTCCATTTTCGCTGAGCGGCCCCGCGAAGGCCAAAAATGGTGAGGAAATGGTCCAAGGTTCAATCCCTGTGATGACAAAATTTTTGCATTTAGGTTGGAGCTTCCAAATTTGCTCCAAATAGCGCCAGCGCCAATATAGATATCATATTCATTATAAAGACCACCAGTATCT